AGTTGACAGAGCGGACAAGTAGGCCATTTGGGAACCAGGAGGGATCGGTGAAACACCGGGTGTATTCTCAAAGACTGAGACAGGGTCAGGCGGTAGGCCACTGGATTAATGACCGCCTCTACAGGGAAAGGTCCAATGAACTGATGGTCCAGTTTTCTCACTGGCCGGTCTGAGGGGAGATGCTTCGTTGACAACCACACATGATCCCCAACAGCCAATGGTGGTGTTGTCCGCTGAGAGCGGTCTGCGACCCTTTTATAATCGTCCTTGGCCTTGTTGAGATACCATTTCACTAGCTGATGAACGGCCTGTAACTCAGCCAAGAATTAATCCACTGCTGGAACCGGGGAATCAAAGGGTGTGAGCGGGAAGAAACGTGGGTGATAGCCCAGATTGGGTAAGAAAGGAGTGGTTTGGGTGGAGGTGTGCTGGAAATTATTAAAAGCAAACTCCGCGACTGCTAAGTACTGTGTCAATTGTCCTGTTGTTGATTGACAAAGCAGCGCAGGTATTGTTCCAATATTCCAATGACCTTTTCAGTCCTGCCATCAGTTTCGGGATGATGAGCCGACGATAAGCAGATCTTAACATCTAAGGCCGACATCACCCCTTTCCAGAACTAGGCGGTGAACTGGATACCTCTGTCCGACACAACCCTATCCGGTAGACCATGAAGCCGAAAGACATGTTGGATGAACATGCGGGCGGTAGCGCGAGCTGTCGTCAATCCCCGACAGGGTACAAAATGCATCATCTTCATCAACATGCCCACCACCACGAACACAGTTGTGAAACCTGAAGACGGGGGCAAGTCCATGAGAAAGTCCATCGAGATGACACCCCACGGTCTCTCTGGTGTCGGCAAGGGCTGAAGTAGTCCTGGGGGAGCGCCCGTGGCCAACTTGGCCTGTCAACAACGGACACAAGACATTACAAAGATCTGGACATCATGATGGAGACAAGACCACCAGAAGGTCCACGACATGAGATTCAGGATTTTAAACAAACCAAAATGTCTCGCCGCAGGGTTGTCATGGCACTGGGACAAAATAAGACCCCTAAGCGGCCCCGATGGAACATAAAGTCTCTCCCAGTACCTCAAGAGGTCATCGGTAGATGTCCAGGGAAAGTCGGGCCCTATTTCCTGCTTCCGAAGATCAACGAAGGCGTCCTGCCGCTGTGCCTCCTGGATCTGACCCCGTAGTTCGACAGGTTCCTGGACAGCAGCGAACGACTTGACGGGAAGAATTGTCTGAGGCAGAAGCGGGTCCTTGACTTGGGCATAGTTGGGTTTCCTCGAGAGCGCATCTGCTCATTGATTGCGCCCACTCAGAATGTAGGTTACTTTAAAATAAAAACGGGTAAAAAAGAAGGACCACCGGATCTGTCGTTGATTGAGTTTCCGTGCAGTCTGCAGAAACTCCAGATTCTTGTGGTCCGTCCGGACTTCCGCTTGATGTTGGGCCCCCTCGAGGTGATGTCTCCAGGTCTCAAACGCGGTCTTAATGGCCAGTAGCTCTTTTTCCCAGATGGTATAATTGCGCTCAGAAGGATTCAATTTCCGGGAATAGTAGGCGCAAGGGAAAAGAGCACCGCCATCCACGTGAGCCTGGAGTAACACCGCTCTGACCGCGATATCCGACACATCCGTTTCTACCACAAACGGATGCTGCGGGTCAGGATGCTTAAGGATCGGCTCTGTCATGAAGGCCTGCTTTAAGGCAAGGAACGCCTGCTGCTCGGAGTTGCCCCATAGGAACGCCACTTTCTTCTGCAGGAGTCGAATGAAAGGCACGATCAAAGTAGCGAAGCCAGGGATGAATGTCCGGTAATAATTGGCAAACCCGAGGAGTCACTGAACATCTTTCACCCGCCAGGGAGGTTTCCAACTTCTCAATGCCTCGATCTTGCTCTGATCCATCACGATGTCCTCGGGAGAAATGCGATGGCCCAAGAAGTTGATGATCGTCTGGTAGAATTGGCATTTCTCCAGCTTGGCATATAACTGATGTTCTCGAAGCCGTTGGAGTCTCACTTTGCTGCTTCTCTTTGAAGTCTTTTAACAATCTCTGAGAGTTTTTTCCTTTCTGGCACTTTTATTCTCCTCTCTCTGGTTTTTCAAGCTGCTTTCCACTATTTGTTCCCTGTATAAATCATCAGGACATCACGCCTCTAGATCCGCCATTCTCATGCAGTTTTCTTCCGTGTGTATCCGGAGGGCTCTTCTCGCCGAACGGGTGCTCGCAATGCTCCACATTCAAACTCCGAAGAAACCCCTCCACCTTGCTGATCCCTCCAGGATCTGACCTGCCAAAAAAGGCTTCAAAAACACAAAAAATTGGGTACAAACTAGTGGAGCCCCGCTAGTTTGCCCTGCTACAGTATGACGTCACAGCCGGAAGTCCCGATTTTCAAAGAAACTTTCATTTAACAATTCATAACATGGTAATTGCCCTTAAGTCATATCCAAAATCTACAGTACATTTTAATTTCTATCTTAGCTTTTTATTTTATTCTATCCTCCACAAAAGTTCATTTGAATGTCATAAAATAGTTCTTACAGATTTTATTTTTATCTCTGATAAATTCCATTACAAGCCTGGGGTTAAAATTATACATTTCAAGAATGGAAGCATCCCATTTTATGACAAGTTTATTATTTTATATTATACTGAAGACAGGTATGGCATCAGATACTGAATACAATCTTAAGAGTAAGGCTTTTCAACTTTTTGATAATATCAAGGAGTGTGTAGTACAGTGGTCTAAGGCACCCTGTTATTAAGCTGGTTATTAAGACCAGCTGCCTGCAATTACTGCAGGTTCGAATCTCGCCAAGGCTCAAGGTTGACTCAGCCTTCCATCCTTTCTAAGGTAGGTAAATTGAGGACCCAGTTGTGGGGGCAATAAGCTGACTTTGTATAAATATACAAAAGGATGAAGGCTATTGCTGAGCACATTGTAAGCTGCCCTGAGACTCCGGAGAAGGGCGGCATATAAATCAAATTAAAAAAAAAACAACCTATGTATGTGCAAATATAGGATAATAAGATTAAAATTGTCAGCTTAAAAATGCCTACAGCAGGGTTGTCCAACTGGCTGCCAGTGGGCTGGATGTGTCACGTGCAGACCACACTCACCCCAGTTCCGCAAAGGCAAAAATGTCGCAAAACGTAACGATACATCATGTGATACGAGCGAGTTTGACTTTCTTTTAAAAGAAAGATCAATCTGCTTGGGAGAGATAGCTGTTAGAGAAAAACTAACAGAAAGCAGAGGAATTGGGTTTTTTTTTTATTTTAAAAAAATGAAGAATGTGTGAAAAAATATGAGCATTGATATCAGAATGAGACATAAATCCAGAGGAAGATCAGAGGAAGAAGGAATGTTAGTGAAAAGAAGAAATAACTTACCAATAAAGGAGAATATTTGTAGCTCAGGGTTGAAATGTGGGGTCCTTGGTGCTCTCTGAGCTTGGTTGTTGTCTTGCAGACATTTCATTACTCAAACTAGGTAACATCATCAGTGTTGGGACACTAGCACCGATGATTTACCTAGTTTGGGTAAGGAAAATTCTGCAAGAAAACAACCAAGCTCAGAGAGCACTAAGGACCCCTCAAAAATAACTTAGGAATTGATCTAATAAAAGGCTCAGGAAATAGTGTCTGAATTTTACACACTAGTTCAGTAGTTCTGGGTTAATATAGTGGTAAGAGCATGTATGCAGGCTTTTGGTTCTCCATTGGTTATGGGTGCAAACAGTCAGAACATTGTCCATTATCAATAGTGTTCTTGTTGTTGATGATGCTTGGTCTTGAAAATAGTTATTGATGTGGAATAAGCCTGCAGCAGTGGAACAATCTCAAATATAGTTTGATATGGTTAGGGAATGGGATGGACAAACAAACAAACAAACAAACAAATAAAATGCTGTGTCTTCTGAAGCTGGTAGCTTCCTCCACAAAATGTCATCAAAGATATATAATTCCTTATTTTTGGTTTCTTAATAAGCACACTAATGTATAAGTAGCAGTTAGCACTTTAATTTCAGTGCAGACATGCTCAATAAATGTTGATTTCACAACAAGGATTATGCAAGGATTTCAAGACCAGTAACTATCAAACTTTGACCCAGGCAAAAGATCTTAAATTTCTACTTTCTGGAATCTGGTTCTTGTCACATTTCATGATTCAAGAACTAGATTCTCAGAGATACTCAGCTTTTATACTTTACAATTCAATTTCCATTGAGACTATAAGGAGGCAAATTCTGATGATATAAAGGATTTATGGGGGAAATAATCTTATGGGGGAAGAATTGTAACAATTATTGAGACTATTAAAATAAAAAAGTGGAACCTAAGAACTATTTCTAATATTATAAATAGGAATTTTATGTTTTAAATTCCAGAGACATATTTACCATTAACAGTTTTTTTTGTTTTGTTTTGTTTTGTTTTATATGTGTGAAAACTAGCAGATTCTACATGGATCCACGGCTAACAGTAGTTAGTTTTCTAAAAATATTGAACAGGAATATTTAATTCATCTCTGCCTTCAGCCTTTCATTTTATAACAGAGTATTTAAATACACAGGAGAGGAATGGAGGCTGCTGATAAGCTCTGTAAAGAAAACCTCAGTAAAGCAAATATGGGGAGAACTCCTTGTCTGGGTGTTTGATCACCTGTTAAAAAGTGCATGAGGATGAACGAAAGAGAGCAGAGTGCATGGACATATCTCTAATGAACTGAAAACAAAACAAAAAAAAAATAGATAAATTTATAAATATTTATTTATAAATAAATAAATAAATAAAAATATCATGAAAACAGTTTTTTGTATTGATCTATATTTACAGTGCCCCAAAAGTTAAAGCTAATAGAACATGGTTAATTGCATATATATTTAGGTTTCCAGTTTCTTGATTCAATAAGTGTGCTAACTTTTAATATTTCATGTATTCGACTTTATTAGCATTTCACATAAAAAGTCATCTTACCTGGGATATTCAGTTCCCCAGAAGAAAGGCTTCTGGAGTTCTCCTGCTGGAAACCCTATAGTGATTTTAGAAGAAGAATAGGAGAAGAAAGAATTCAGTCTCACCATATAAAGAAGTCTGAGATTTTCTAAGAGATTTAGACAAGGTAGAGTATCTGATATTTTCTGCACACAAAGGCAACAGTTAATCTAATGGTTTAAACAATGAATTTAAATAATGAATTTCAGTCAGAAGCATAGTATATCTTTATAGGAAGCCCTTCCTTCCTTCCTTCCTTCCTTCCTTCCTTCCTTCCTTCCTTCCTTCCTTCCTCACAGCTAAAATTCAAGTAAACAATTTACCATTGAAACACTATTATATTTCAGAACTGGTTTGTGTAGTCATTCTATTAGGTGGGTCAGGTTTTAATCCAAATTTGGTCCTAATGGCTAAACAATTTTAAATTGTGTCACATCATCAAAACAATCTCCAATGCACAACTTGAATACTTTTCCTTACATAGGAATATATAAATAGTGTGTCAACCAGCTTTTTATTGAAAGTATTACAATATAAAAGTATATAAAAGGGTGGATGGTTACTTTTTATTGTTTTGCTATTGGATTTTTATTTTAGTAAGCTGTCCAGAGTCACTGAGAGTGAGTTAGGCAGCCATATAAATTTTCTAAAAGAAATAAATAAATTTTGTGACTTAAAGAAATGTTTGGGCTTTTTCCATAGACTTAGATATCGGAATTACAATTCTCATCAGCCCTAGGTGGCCAAATGAAGCTATTTATATAACATTGTTTTATACAGGTACTTATGTAGGTAGCACAAAGAAAGCCTAGGAATTACAGTAGAAATATAAGAGAAAGCCTAGAATCATGATGGCGAACCTATGGCACGCGTGCCAGAGGTGGCACACAGAGCCTTCTCTGCTGGCATGCGCACTGTTGCCCCAGGTCAGATCTCCATGATGTTTCTTTCATGAGCTTCTGTTTCCCTGAAAACAATGAAACAGAAGCTCACGAAAGAAAAAGATCTTATGTCTTGCCGCAGCTGGTCATCGGGTCTCTGCTGTGCATGCGTGCATGTCCATGTCTGTGCATGCATGCACACATGTCTGTGCATGTCTGTGTATGCACGCCCCTGCGTGTGTTTGCGCACGCGCACACACCTTTCCGTTTGGGCATGTACACGCAGTTTGGGCACTCGGTGTCTAAAAGGTTCGCCATCACGGGTCTAGAACAACAAAAACTGCAAATAATTTCCAAAAACCTTAAATACTAAGAAATATATAGTAGAAACTCTAGATGAACAGGAAAACTTTAATGAACAGGGAAGCTTTAATGAACAGGGAAGGGGAGAATAAAAATTTCCATGAGGAAAAAAAATAAAAAGAAAATACTCAAAACGTGACTGGATAAGCCTATAAATAAAGCTTTACTGCATATCTTATTTAAATGTTCCTTTTTAAAACCCTAAATTAATGCTTGCAAGGGGCATAGCCTTTGGGGCAAAATATAACCAGATAGTTTTGTATAGGAAGCTAGATATTGTTATATCTGAATTGACTTTATACAACTGCCGATTCTGTAAACAGCTTAGAGAGGGCTGTAAAGCACTATGAAGTGGTATATAAGTCTAAGTACTATGGCTATGGATATTGCTAAAGCTCATTGAATATGAACTAGACATTTTATAAGCAAACTGTATAGCTATTTTACCAGCTCTGCATATCCTCCAATGTTCTTATACAGTACAGATGACATGGTCATTCCAGAAATGTAAAAGACCAGGAGGAAAGCCTTCTGCCTCTAACAGCTTGGGGCAGCTTAGAGCAAACAAACTTTTAGAAAACTTTTGTTTGTTGGTGTGTTTACTTTTAATGTATCAATTTATTTACTTCACTCAATTTCTACACCACTCCATTCTCATGGAATCCAGACAGTATACAGCCACAACCATAATTTAAGGTTAATTTCCAAGCCAAAATAATGCTAACTATTAACATCAACTAACCTATGTGCCCCCATACTGGAGTAGAATAATGGTCATTGTTCCAAATCACATGATTTCACTCCTTTTCCCAAAGTATACTAAGTACAGAGTTGTCAAAATGTCTAACGGTAGGAGGTGCCACAGGAGGTGCCATCACTAAGAACACTTGACAATAGGGTACCTGAAGATAGCAATCCTTCAAATGAGAGCCCCTCAACAAGTCCAGATTCAACCCATAGAAGGACAGGAATCCTTCAGTCACTTTGTCTGTTATGAAAATGTGAGTCTGACAGTTGTTCTGCCAACCTTGAGCAGAAGGAGATTGAAAAGTATGGTGATTTCTTCCAGGATCCTTTCTGTAATGGTGCCTATTTAATAGAATTAAATTCTTATCAGAGATAAGAAAGGTCAAGTACCGTATTTTCCGGCGTATAAGACGGACCCCCTACTTTTCCTGTTAAAATATAGGGTTTGGGCTATACTCGCCGTATAAGACTACCCCTCTTCCAACGCACACCAAATAAAAATTAAAAAACATCAGATTTGATTTCAATATGGTAATTTTAATTCAAATGCTTACGACATGCAGGTACTTAGCAGGAAAACTGTCACTTATAAACATAAGGCTGTTTGTCATCAAACATGTCAACATAAAACAGTGCAATTGGATTAAACTTTTCCTAATTCACTCTAAAGCTGAAAGGAAGGATAAGACATGGGAGCTGCCATGCTGTTTGTTTTCTAAACTGTCAACCAAACTGGAACTGATGATGATAGGAGGAAGATAACAAACAATAAAGAGCCAGTGCCGGGCAAGTTCCTGGCGAGTCAGCAACGCCCATCATAACTGCAAGCTATTTTTACAGGTTTTGCTGGCGTGACAGTTTCCCTTTAAAAGCCTTCAAAATCCTCCTGTTCGTCATCTGATATCATAAGTACATCAATGACATCTTGTGATACATTTGTAAGGCAGTCATCATATGGATCTAATTCCGTATCAGATGGTGTGGTCTCAGCTTCGGCTTCCTCTTCATCTTGCCACAAGTAGTCGTCCTCCATACCATCTAATGAATTTGATATGTCACACTTCTTGAAAGACTTGATTACTGTTTCTGCATCAATATCATTCCAGGCTTTTATGACAAACTTGCACAAAACATCCAACTGTGGAGCACGCATGTTTCCTCCTTTTGTGAATGACTTTTCACCGCTAACCATCCACTCATTCCACTGTTCTCGAATGCGATCTTTAAATGGCTTGTTTAGGCACACATCCAGTGGCTGTACCAACAATGTCAGTCCTGCAGGAATAATTGCCGCATCTGTGTTTATTCTTGCAAGCCTTTGCTTGGTGCTGGGAGTTAAATGAGCCCTGAACATATCCCACACCAGTAGACTACGTTTTTGAATAAGTCCACCTGGTCGCCTGCTCCATACATTATCAAGCCATAGCTTTACCCCTTCTTCATCCATCCAGCCTTTTTCATTCACATGTACAAAACAACCAACAGGGAACTTTAGTTTCGGCATTGTTTTTCTTTTAAAAATAATCATTGGTCTCAGTTTGGAGCCATCAGCTGTGCATGCTAGTACCACTGTAAAACTGGACTTCTCATGTCCTGTTGTTTTAATTAAAATTGTTTTTTCACCTTTTGGATGGACAGTTTTATTTCCAATCATATCAAAATTCATTGGAGTTTCATCCATATTTCCGATACTACTTAACGCATAGCCATGTTTCTTGCGCTGTTTTATTACATATCGATGGAAACTATTTACTTTGGCATCAAGATCTGCAGGTAATTTTTGTACAATTTTTGTCTTTTGCCTCAGAACCAAATTATGCCTTTCCAAGAATCTAGTATACCAGGAAACAGTGGCCTTAAATCTGTTGCTGTGATCTGGGTTAGATTTGGCCCACTGAAGTGCAAACAAACGTATTTTATTTCGTGTCACTACATAACGGTTTTGGCGATGCTCATTCACCATGTCTGCTACATGTTTTTCGAGTTCTGGCCAATGTGGGGTGCCTCTTCTTAATGCACACTTACCCCTTGGCATACTCTTTAATGCTTTTACATTTGCTTTCCAGTCCCGAACCATCTTTTCTGTTACTCCATATTGTCTTGCAGCAGCACAGTTATTATGTTCCATGGCAAAGTTTACAACTTTAAGTTTAAAACTGGCTTCATATTTCTTTCTTCTTGCTGGTGGAGCCATGATGGGGCCTTGACTGTTATATTTGTATACTATACTGTATGTACTGTTGCTGTACTGTATGTATTGTTGCTGTACTGTAGAGAAAGGTAATGGGCTACGCTACGTGTAGTGGCAAGAGGGCTATTTTGTACCAGGTTTTTTTCCCACACCCATGCAGCCTTGTCGAGATCGGCACAGCTTCATGAATCTGAGTTGCTGGCACTGACTGATGATGCTACGGGAGCGCCGACAATATTGACAGGAAGCTGTGCCGATCTAGTCAAGGCTGCATGCTGCTGAATGCTGGAACCAGCTGGTTGCTGAGCGGAGCTTCCCCCAGGCATCTAGGGGGATATTACCGACGCTCCGACTTCCCCAGCTGACCCCCACTGATGGCGAGCCCCACCAGTCTGGGGAAGTCGGAGCATCGGTAATATCCCCTGGATGCCTGGGGGAAGCTCCGTGCAGCAACCAGCTGGTTCCAGCATTCCAAGGCGATTCCAAGGAGGTCCATGGTGAAAGCGGCGCCGCGGTTGACCTGGGCCATCACCTTGCACACCTGGCTCTGCGTCTCCATTATGAGAAGCTCCATGCGACTTCGCATGTCTCCGCCCCAGTCGCGCAGCTCTCACAATCCGCTCACCAGAGGACCCATGAAGCGCTCGCACCTCCTTGTCAGATCTTCCTCGTCCTCCTTTCCCCACGGCTTTTCCGGTTGTAATTGCTGCTGCTGCCGCCACCAAGGCTGCTCCTTCATCTCCGCCCGCTGCACCAGACCCAGCCCGGCCAGCACCGCCATGGCTCCCGCAGTCCAAGCGACGCCGATCGCTGCCACCCACCATTGCCCCAACGGGAAGAACCACCCGGCAGCGA